CTCTGACAAATAAATAAATAAATAAATAAATAAATAAATAAATAAATAAATAAAGAGAAGGATTTCATGATTTACAAAGTGTTTTCACACCTACTGACCAATTCGATGTTTGGGAAACCCTACAAGGTTGGTATTATTATGCCCATTTCACTGGGAGAGAAAACTAAGTCACAAAGAGGTGTCCAGCATCACACAACTAATGCTTGGGAAAACAAGGATTCGAACTCCTGTCCGTCTGCTTCCAAACACCTGGGCCTCGTATGCGATATCATGGCAGCCCGCTGTCCAGGACCCAGGCTATGACTGCTTCCTCCACGCCTCCCTTTTATCACGGCAAGGATCTCCATGTTTCCCCTATCCAGGTTCCTGGGCCTCCAGGAGATCTAGATCCCAGATTCTAGAGTCTCCCTTGCAGGCCTGCCGCCTCCTCTCACTCCCAGAATCCAGCTGGGCAACATTCCCAGGAGCCTGAAGATCAGGTTCAGAGTCCCCGTTGCTTCCAGTTCCCTGCAGAGTGGATTCTGCCCAGACTGCACCTCCCTCCCCAAGAGCACTACTCACCTCGCCCTCAGAGTCCTCCAGGCCCAAAGCTTGCCCCCTCTGCCGAAGACCCCCACGATCCTGGAAACTTAGTTAGCCCCAGGAGCCCCAGATCCAGAGCTTCCGACAAAATGGCATTCTTGGGCACTCAGCTCTCAAACGTCTAGGTTTGGCTTCTGTACTTTCTCTGCTGTATTCAGACTGGAGTCTCCTGGAGTGGTAGAGTGAGATGAGGGGTGGTGTGTAGGAAGGGGTGGGGTCTGTAAGGGAGGCATGTCAGCTAGCATCCTGGGGGAGGAGTGAACTACCTCGTCTCCCCCTCCTCTGACGTGTGCAGTAGGCGTCTGGAAATTGACAGGCTGAAAAGTGAACCCCCCAGTTTTCCCCCAAACCTGCTTCTCTCATAGCGTTTCCCATCTCTGTCAACAGTAACTCAATTCCTCCAGCTCCTCAGGCTGCAAATCTTGGAATCGTTCTTGACTCCTCTCTTTCTTGCACACCCCACATCAGTAAATTGTGTTGTCTCTACTTTCAAAATCTAGCCAGAATCTGACCACTTCCCATCACCCTCGCCAACCTGGTCCAAGTTACCATCATCCATTGGCAACAGCTCCTGTTTGTCTTCCTTCTGTTTCCCCAGTCCTGCAGTCTATTCTCAACATAGAGCTAGACGGTGACCCTTTAAAAGTACAAATCAGGGGGCGCCTGGGGGGGCGCAGTCGGTGGAACGTCAGACTTTTGGTTTCCGCTGGGGTTGTGATCTCGGGGGTTGTGGGATCGAGCCCCGGGACTGGCTCTGCCCTCAGCGGGGTATCTGCTTGGGTTTCTCTCTCCCTCTGTCTCCGCCACTCCCCACCCAGGGATGTGCGCTCTCAATCTCTCTCTCTCCCCATCTCTCTCTAAGATAAATAAATAAAATCTTTTAAAAATATATAAATTAGACCCCAACACTTGTCTCTTCTAAACCCTCAATGGCTTCCCATTCATTGAAAGTAAAAGCCAAGCAGTCCTCGCAATGGTTCCTGAGGACCTTCATGATCTGGTGCCTGCCAAACTCTCTGACCTCGTCTCTACATTTCCCCTTCCTCCCAACCACTTGCTCTTTATCTGAAGTCACCCTAATATTTAAAGAAACAACCCTCTCTATTCCCCTGTCTTCTCTTCTCTAGTCCCCATCCCACCTTTATTTTTCTCTATAGCAATGATTACAATCTATATATTTTACTTGTTAATTTTCTTTTCTTTTCCCTCCCACTAGTATGCGGGCTCCATTAGAATGAGAGTTTTTCTCTGTTTTATTCACTACCGGTACCTAGAACTGGACCAAGCACACAGTAGGCTCTCAGTAAACATTTGCTTATCTTTTTTCTGGATTATGGCCAGTGACTTCAGAGAGGCAACTAAGCATAGCGATTAAGTACATGGAGACTAGCGCCTGGGTCAAAGGCAGGCCTGCCTGGGTTCAAATCTTGACTCTACCACTAAATAGCAGAATAAATTCTCTGTGCCTTAGTTTTCTCATCGGCAAAGTGGGGCAATAATTGTACTTATAGAGAACCTATGGGGCCATCAATAAGTGTAAAGCACTTAGAATAGTGCCTTGCACATAGTAAGTGCTATATAAGCATTTTTATAATTATATGCACACGGACTTAAGATTTATATCAGTAGTATAGGTTTTCTAAAATCTTTCCGTGTGTTATCTTGCATTTCTGCCCATGTTAACATTCATTCATTTCCCATGTTTCTGCTCACTCATACAGATTTATATGATCTCCCTGTAGTTTTAGTCATCTCCTGTGGCCTGGCTCTTGATCTATAAACGTGGTTGTTTCCTTGTGTACTCCGTCCTACAGTCATTTAGAAACTGTTAAATAGTAATCTCGCCGGGCCTCAGTCTATAGAGTGAGTAGGTTGGACTAGATAATCTCGATGGGCCTTTCTAGCTCTGAGGATTTCCCAGGCCAGGAGGAGGGACAGGCCCCACCCCCAAACCCGCCCTCTTGGATATGCCCTCTGGCTGCCAAGGGGAAAGGTGACAGAGTCAGCTGGGCTCAGCTTCAAGGGGACCAGGTAGGAGACATGCCAAGTTTCTTGGGTGAGGGTGGCGATGGGGTTCCTGGGCTGGACCAGGCTGGGGGAAGGCGTCAAAAGTAACTATAGTGTGGAGACACTGGGACCAGGGTGAGGGGAAAGGTAAAGCCACCATGTGGACAAATGTTGGAATGGGCTAGGAGACAGTCTGGGTGCGGGCATATTCGCCCATGGGATAGTCTCGATAGGCCTCCACCCTATCTTGGCTAGCCAAGATCTGAAGGACAGAGTCAGCTGCAGGATGAGAATAACCCAAACTCACTGCCTGCCCTGCTGGGCCCCAGCACCACGTGCTGCCCATCATTCCCCAGGCTGGACCAGGGGGGCTTGGGCAGGGGCTGGCCTGGCCTGAGTTGCGTGCGGACATACTCCTCCCAGCTACTCCTCATGCTTCAGTCATGGCCCGCCTCATTCTCTGCTCTTTGGCCTCAGGTCAGGGCTGGGAGGCCTGGAAAATCCAGCCGCCCTCACTTCTCCCCTTCCCACCTCTAGGGGGACCATGGCCAGTGCAGGGTCCTCTCTGCTCACAGCCCTAGGCCCCAGCCCAGATCCTGGCGACAGTGAGGCAGAGCTGGACTGCCGTTTTAATGAGGAGTTCAAGTTCATCCTGCTGCCTGTGAGCTACTCGGTTGTCTTTCTGTTGGGCCTAGGCCTCAACGCCCTGACCCTCTGGCTCTTCCTCTTTCGCCTCCGACCCTGGGACGCAACGGCCACATACATGTTCCACTTGGCCTTGTCAGATACTTTGTATGTGCTGTCACTACCCACCCTCATCTACTACTATGCGGCCCGCAACCACTGGCCCTTTGGTGCTGGGCTCTGCAAGTTCGTCCGCTTTCTCTTCTACTGGAACCTCTACTGCAGTGTCCTCTTCCTCACCTGCCTCAGCATCCACCGCTACCTGGGCATCTGCCACCCACTGCGGGCACTGCGCTGGGGCCGCCCTCGCTTCACAGGCCTTCTCTGCCTGGCGGTTTGGTTGGTCGTCGCCGGCTGCCTCGTGCCCAACCTGTTCTTTGTCACAACCAGCACCAAGAAGGACACCATCCTGTGCCATGACACCACTCGGCCCGAGGAGTTTGACCACTACGTGCACTTCAGCTCGGCCATCATGGGGCTGCTCTTTGGCTTGCCCTGCCTGGTCACTCTTGTCTGCTATGGGCTCGTGGCCCGGCGCCTATATCGGCCCTTGCCGGGGGCCGCCCGGTCATCTTCTCGTCTGCGTTCTCTCCGCACCATCGCTGTGGTGCTGACCGTCTTCGCTGTCTGCTTCGTGCCTTTCCACATCACCCGCACCATTTACTACATGTCAAGGCTGTTGGAAGCTGACTGCCGGGTGCTGAACATTGTCAACGTGGTCTACAAAGTGACTCGGCCTCTGGCCAGTGCCAACAGCTGCCTGGATCCCGTGCTCTACCTGCTCACTGGGGACAAATATCGACGCCAGTTCCTGCAGCTGTGCAGGTGTGGGGGGTCTCAGCCCCCCACGACCGCCTCCTCCCTGGCACTGGTGTCCCTGCCTGAGGAAAGCAGCTGCAGGTGGACATCCACCCACCAGGACAGTGGCTTCCCTGCCCCTGGGGCAGATAGATTGTAACCCTGGGAGCCAGGAAGTGAGAGGAAAAAGGGTGGGTGCAGGGCAGAGGTGAAGGAACTTAAGTTACCCCCAATATGGCTGCTTCTTCGTCTTTCCCAGACTCTGGAGAGAGGCCCACACCCTGAGGATTAAGAGGAACCAGGTACATCATGTGTGACCCCATCTCTCATTAAACCCTTCAGTTGCCCTCCCCTTTTTAGCCAAAGGCAGTAACAGCCACTCTTCTTTCTCTTTGCTTCTGTCTCCTTCCTGGGGCCATCAGTCCTGTCTCTTGATCCTACAAGGTTTCCTAAAATTCTCACGCAGTCTCCACCTTTTCTCCACCTTTTCCCCACACACATTTGTATAGCATGTGTTCCTTCAGCCAGACCCGAGCATTAGACTGAAGAGGTGGAGAAGCTGGGGTAATCTCAGGATTGGTCTGATGTATCTGATGGTGATAGCCAGAATCGGGAAGTGGGGAGCACCGGCATATCCCAGATGCCAAGGATGACATGTGACGCCCACACCCACTTCCTGGTTTCCTCTCAGACAGGATAGTCTTGCCTACCAACGTGCTGAAATAGGGCTCAATCCCAGACAGCCTGCAGACCAGGGTCCCCACATGCAGCCGGAGGCATGGCACTGTTGAACTGGTGTATAGCCCTGGGGTACAGAGGGAGCCCTGAGTCTTACCATGGGGAGGATATCCTACCTGGGGGCAAGGCTCAAGCTGACGTTGGCCTTTGGAACAGGACCTCCTTTATGATGCTTGCTGAGAGCATACTTAACAGTTCTCCTGTACTAAATGAAAAGAACAGCGGAGGGCTTAGAAAGAAAAAGAGGCGTTGGGGGTGGGGGGTGGGGAGGAGCTCTCATGTTTGGCTGTAAGTTCCAGCACCAAGGGGTAGAGCAGGTTTGTACAGAGTTTAGAGTGGCGACAGGAACTGACACCCAGAGCTGGCTCTTCACTGCTCTCTCCCCTTTCTCTAGCTCCTGCCCTGGGTGAATAATAAATCAGTCACCAACTCTTTCAGATCAGGCCTTAGGGCTTCAACGCCAGGGCAGACAGAGCATGGGGACGAGGACAGCTCCCCTCAGAGTCTCGCATCCAGTCACTCCTCCCCAGGACCATCTCAGTACTTATGGGCTTTCAGGAATTGGGAATAGGTATGGAACTTGGGCAGCTAACCCCCAAGCCTCGGGAAGTAAGAGTTTCTAGGCAGGCATTCATCAGAAGGGTGGGCTTACACTTCTAGGCAGCCCCCTCTGAAATTGCCTTCTAGCCCACTGGTCTCCTGAGTCTCCAGCCTTCCTTTTCTTTTGCCCCACTCCTGCTGACCTGTCTCTGATCTCTTACTTGTCTACTGGCATCTAAGGGGTCCCTCTGGAGAGTAAGGCTGGGGTTAGTCTTCAGAAAAAAAATGACTCTGATGCTCCTGAGTCTCCATGTTCTCCGTCTCCCTGCTTCCTACCCAGGACTCCTTCCGTTAGGAGTAAACATACTGGCCTTTTCCTTACTAGTTTCCTGGGGTCATGGCCACTGCCTAGACTGTTACATATCCTAGTTTTCATCTGTACTCTCTCCCTTTAATTCCTATGACCACAGCCTCCTTGCCCACCACTTACCTCTCCTATCCACCGGCCCCACCAGGTAAAGCTGCTTTCTCTATCACAGCTGACCCAGCCTCCTCTATTTCTCCAGTCCATTTAACCCATATCAAGACTCATTTAACCCATTACCAAGACTCACTGCCCAGACTGTGTGGTCTGCTACTTTAGGGCTGTCTTCCCTCCCACTCGAACTTTAGTTAAAGTGGGGACTTACTTACCTTTCTCCCAAGAGAGTCCCTTGACTCTCACCTTCAGCCAATTTTCTCCTCTCGCTTAGACTGACGGAGATTGCAGATGAAGCCAGAGCACAAGGCTGGCTTGACCCACTGAAACTTCATGTCTTGGAACTTCTTCTAAGCTCCTACTTTTATTAGCTTGCTGAGTTCCTAGTGAACATTCCAGAGCAAGTGTTTTCTCTCTTTTCTACCTTCTCAAGACTCCAACCTCATCCTACCCTATGACCTTCTAAGAGTTACCTTGCCTCCTGGAAAACTGAGAAGATCTAATTCCTCAACGTCTTTCTGCTTCATTCATGATAACTCTACTTTTACATCCATCTTGTCCTTCTTCCCTGTAGACCCAAAATAAGAGGTGGCCCTCTTACTTGTTCCTTGGTTTATCCTTTTTCAGCATTTTCAGTCTTTCCATAACTGATTTCATATCATCTTTTAAAAAATACACACAACAAAACCCAACCAAACAAAAATAAAGCATTATCACTGATACCATGACCCTGCTGTCTCTTGTAGCTAACTTTCTATTCATCGTATTCATTTCACTGTCAAATTTTAGAAAAAGTACCATAACCTCATAACCCCATTTCACCACTACAAAGTCACCTCTTAACTCTCTGAAACTGGCTTCCTTCTGTACCTGGAAGAACACAAATTAATCCAAAAACAAGATCTTTAATGATATTTCCTCTATATTCATCCTCTTTGACAATCTCTAGTTCATGTTACCCTGTTGCATATCCTGTTTAAAATTTTTTTTATGAAAACAACATTTAAAAATTCCACTATGACAACATTAAAGGAAATTTTGAAAGAAAATATTCACCTACACTTCCAAACCCCAGACAATGGTTTTCATTTGTCTATGTTCCATGCTTTTTCAGATTGCATAATACTTATATTTTATGGAAGTGCAATCACAGTGTACATATATTTTATATTTTTGCCCTAAGAAACTTTTATTGTAAATACTGTCTTTGTGCTACAGTCTTACATACTTATCATTTCAATAGCCACATAAAATTATATCCATTAGTAGATTATATTTTATTTGACTATTCCCCTATTATTGGACATTTAGTCAACTCCCAATTTTTCTGTGCTTTGAACATCTTTTTTTTTTTTTAAAGATTTTATTTATTTATTTGAGACAGAGAGAATGACAGACAGAGAGCATGAGAGGGAGGAGGGTCAGAGGGAGAAGCAGACCCCCTGCCGAGCAGGGAGCCCGATGCGGGACTCGATCCCGGGACTCCAGGATCATGACCTGAGCCGAAGGCAGTCGCTTAACCAACTGAGCCACCCAGGCGCCCTGTGCTTTGAACATCTTAATGCATATGGCTTTTTTCTTCTTTACAATTCTGTTCCTAGGACAAGTTCCCAGGAGTGGGATTACCAGATCAAAGGGTATAAACATTTTTTATGGATCTTGATTTCCAAAAAGACTGTACAAATTTTCAATGCCACAGTGGCACACAAGTGTTCCAGCTCCTTTGCAGCTCTAACATTAGACTTTATAAGAAATCTTTTTGGATGGCTTAAAACATTATTTTGCTCAGTCGGTTAAGTGTGTGCCTTCACCTCAGGTCATGATCCCAGGGTCCTGGGATGGAGCCCCACATCTGGCTCTCTGCTCAGCGGGGTGCCTGCTTCTCCTTCTCCCTCTGCCTGTTTCTCTCTCTGCCAGCCCCTCCCCCTGCTTGTGCTCATGCTCACTCTCTCTCTCTCTCACTCTGTCAAAGAAATAAATAAAATATTTTTAAAAACCCAAAAAACAAAAAAAAAACACATTAATTTGTTAACTTCACTTTTTTGATTACTCATGGGATAGAACAATTTTCCATATGTTTACTATTTGTATTTCCTCTTGTGGGAACTCTTCATATCCTTCACCAATTGGCATGAGTGGTCTTATATATATTGGTGATCTTATATTATCTAAATGTATTCTTTATTTAACATACATGTTAACACTTTGTCATATTTGATATACACATTTCTTCCATTTATTGTAATTTTTGCTTTTAATTTTAGTCCCTTATTTTATCCTCTTGCTTTAAATTTCTCTCCTCCTGCTTTTACTTATTACTTCCTCTCTCTTCGCTGGCTTCTCCTCTTTTACTACTTAAGTAAACAGAGTTCCAAGATCTGTCATAGTCATAGCATTTGAGGTTTATTTAATCCACTCCCCGCCCCATCTGACCCTTGATTTTCTCCTGGAGAGAACATATGTGCACGCATATGTTTAATTTCCAACATTAAACAATTCAGTTGACTTAGAGTCCTTGAGAATACCTCAGAAATCCTCCAGGGCCTAGTGCCCCCTCACTTTACAGAACAGGAAAACAGCCCAGAGATATGACTTGCCCGTTACTTAGTAAGTTAGTGACAGAGGAGGAACTAAGCTTAGCCCCCAGGTCCCTTGACTCCCAGACCTCCTTTCTTTACACCACGCCAACTCAGTTCTAGCCTGTCCTTTCTCCCAAGTTCCACCTCTATATCTTCAATTGCCCACTGGACAGTTTCACTTGGATCTTCCATTGTTACTTCCACCCCAAGATGTCAAAACTCCCTAAACCAGTTCCCCTACTTGTCTCGATCATTTCTTTCCACGCCATCTTCTTTCCTCAAGTCGCCTAGGCTCAAAACACTCAGGTAACTTCAATTCTTCTATTTCACGAGATTCTGACCTTTCTTTAGTTATCATGTCAATTATAATCAGCTTTCCTTTATGATCCCAGTGCTACCATTCTAATACTGACTATTATCACCTTATCCCTGACTGACTGTTACAGCTTCCTAACTGGTCTTTCTTACATCCAGTCTATCCTCACACAAATGCATCCTATATAATGCATACTGCCAGGTTAATCAGCCCTAACACTGCTCTCACAGTTTCACTCTCTTACTTAAAACTCTCTCATCGTTCCTCATTGTCTACAAGACAAGTTGAAATCCTTTAGTCAGAAAATAAAGAATTTTCAGCCTTATTTTCCATTCTTCCCCAGTACAAATCTTTCTTCTCCCACTGTCCTTTTCCTACCTAGATTCCAAGGCCAGACTTAAGTCTCACTTCCTCTTTGAGGCCTTGTATGGTGACTCTTACCCACAGTGACCTTCCTGGTCACTCTTACAGTAATTATTGTCTATATCAGTCACTTGGCACTTTTATTGTCTTTTGAAATTATACTATTATTGCTAATTAACTCTTTATGTATGTTTGCTG